CCCGCTGCTCCGGCTGCTGCTCCTGCTGGGGCCGCGGCTCGAGGCTGCGGGCGTCGCGGAGCCGCCGCTGCCTGCCGTGGTCCTAGCCATCCTGGCCCGCAATGCCGAGCACTCACTGCCCCACTACCTGGGCGCGCTGGAGCGGCTGGACTACCCCCGGGCCAGACTGGCCCTCTGGTGAGAGAGACCCGGGCGTTGGCACCCACTGGACACCTACCCCCGACCCTCGCAGGCCGCTCCGCCCCCAGACACCACCAGACAGGTCTCTCTCCTCCCAGACGGGCCCTCCACAGACCCCTGCCCGAGGACCGGACCTCTATGCCCCTGGCGGGCGAGGACAGGCCTCTGAGGCCCTAGGTCCACCCAGGGACACCTATTCTCCTTCCGACCCCGTACTCCACCTTTTGGGGCCTCCCCTGGGTATAAGTTGGGGCAGTCCTTACCTCAGCCCTCAGAGCCCAAATTCAACCCCTGTGGGACCTGTGGTTGGTTTGACTTGGAGTGGGGCAGACAGAACCTCGGGAGTCCTCTGGGGCCCGGCGGCGTGGCAGGGATCGCCAGGCTGGAAGTCCCTAGGGAGCAGGTGGGGGTGCTGTTAGCCCTCAGCTCCATGCTGTGCAGGGAGTCGGACTGGCTCCCTCTCCCAATGGGCTGGGTCCTGTCAGTCAAGTGCAGCGCCCCCTCCCTGGAGCCCCCATCCCGCACCCCGTGTCTCCGTGGCACTGGAATCAGAGGCCACAACACCCCAGTCTATCGAAGCCAGAACAGAGAGGAGTCCCAAGCTGAAGCTGGGGTTAAACTGCAAAAAATGACAAACCACCCCCCACAACACACCAAAGTTGGGTTGGGGTTGGAGCCATGGCCTGAGGAGGCTGCCCACAATTACCACAGTTTGGGAGTGAGTTAGTTCCCACCCCTATGAGACTTGACACGTAGTTAGTCTTCACAGTCTTCGTGGCTGGGGAATTGGCTTAAAGGCGCAGCATCACCTAAAACCTGGGTTCTTGGCTGAGCCCCCCACCTCCAGTATGGGAGTCCCTTCCCCAGGAGAGGGGAGGCTGTGATGTGAAGCAAGAGTTCGGGCCCATCAGCACTTTTCAGGGATGCCCACAGCGTGCTTTGGTCCTTATTACAACTTGTGGGTGGAGGAAAGCAGCAGCTCTTCTGTCTAGTCCTGATTCAGAGGGTGTAAGGGGCTGGCCTGTGATCACACAGGAAGGAAGGAAACCAGGGATGTGTCAGGTGTGATCCTTAAGGTTGAGGGATTTTTCACCTTTCAAAATGCAGTAGTCATCTTACATTGACTCATGATGGAGGCAGGACAGCTTAAAATTACAGAGGGAGGAAGTGAAGCCCAGGGAGGGATGGGACTTGCCTGAAGCCACACAGCAGGGAGAGGCTGTCCTGCCTCCCTGTGTGCTCTGCTGTAGCACACCTACACACCACCGCTCCCAGGGGAGGATGGCCTTGAAGGTGTTGTTGCTTTGGGGTCAAGGCTGCCTTGTATTCAGTCCTTCTGTGCCTGTACCCTCTCACCCTTTTTCCTCCTGTGTCCCCAGGTGTGCCACGGACCACAACATAGACAACACCACAGAGATACTGCAGGAGTGGCTGGCAGCTGTGGGCGATGACTATGCAGCTGTGGTCTGGAGACCTGAGGGGGAGCCCAGGTGGCGATCTGAGGGGATGGGTGCTGGGGAAGATGGAGAACAGTTCAACCCGGAGAGTAAAAGGGACAGTCCAGTGCCACACCAGGCCAGGCCTCTGTTCCCTGCCCTGCAGAGAGGGAGAGGCACCTACACCATGGGAATATCTTATCTTTTTACCCCCTCAGGCCCTACCCAGATGAAGAGGGTCCCAAGCACTGGACCAAAGAAAGGCACCAGTTTCTGATGGAGTTGAAGCAGGAAGCCCTGACCTTTGCCAGGGGCTGGGGGGCTGACTACATCCTGGTAAGGAAGCCTGGCGCCTAGGATTGGGCTTCTGAAAGGTGGTGGTATTTGTCCCTGACAGAAATCTTGGTGTGACTGAGCCACCTGTGGGCTGGATCCTTCAGCTGGCTACCTGGGCCAGAGCCCAGACCAAATGTTGAGCTTGTATCCCTATGTTTGAGCCCAGGCTAGGAACTAAACTTGGATCCCTGAGAAAGATCCCAGGATATATATTGATCCTAGATTCCTGGGCTAAAGCCTGGATCCCTGGACTACAGCTCAGAGTCGGTCTTGAGATCCATTCCCTAAGCCAGATCTCAGAAAAGGTTATTAGATCAGCAACTCAGGTGTAATCATAATCTCTGGACCCAATCCTTGAGCCAGTGCCCCAGATTAGATCCTTGGTCCAGAAACAGATCTACTGGGTTTTTTGGTTAGACCTCTCTAAGGGAACTCCCATTGGATCCTAGGAGTCACTCTGGGTCTCTGGCAATCTGGAAGGATCCCAGACAGTGAATTCCTTGGGGGGCTGCAGTACAGATAGGGCTGGGGCCTATGACATCCCCCTCCCCAAAGTTTGCAGACACAGACAACATTCTGACCAACAACCAGACACTGCGGCTTCTGATGGAGCAGGGGCTGCCAGTGGTGGCCCCAATGCTGGACTCCCAGACCTACTACTCCAACTTCTGGTGCGGGATCACCCCCCAGGTAAGGCCAGGGAGGAGAGACATGCAGACCAGAGAGCCTGAAGGCCTCAGAGTCTGTGGGCCATGTCAGGGGGAGCCCTCTCACAGCCCAGGGCATCTCCCTTCCCCAGGGCTACTACCGCCGCACAGCAGAGTACTTCCCCACCAAGAATCGCCAGCACCGAGGCTGCTTCCGTGTCCCCATGGTCCACTCTACCTTCCTGGTATCGCTGGGGGCTGAGGGGGCATCCCAGCTCGCCTTCTACCCCCCTCATCCCAACTACACTTGGCCCTTCGACGACATCATCGTCTTCGCTTATGCCTGTCAGGCTGCTGGTGAGGACCAGCCCTCTTTGAGCATTCCTTAGAGGCCTCTGGGCCTTGGGGCATGCTGTTCCCATGCTGTTTAGCATGCCCTTTCTTGCTCCTCATTTCATCCTGTTAACTCCTGTTTGTCCTTTGGATCATAGCCTTTCTTGAACCCACTGCCGCGGTGGGTTAGATGCCCTTCTTTTGGCTGTCCCCGTCATGGCATTTTCATGTATTCCTTCACTAGGCAAATATTTATGGAGCATCTGCTATGTGCCAGGCACTAGGGAGACAGTGGTGAGTAAACTCAGACAGTTCCTGCCCTTCTGGAGCGCCCAGATCAGTCGATCAAAGGACCACACAAATCAATGTCCAATCACAACTGTGACAGGAAGAAGAACTTCTTGGTTATAGGTGCTCTGGAAGCTTAGACTAGAGTTGACCTGGTCAAGGAAGGCTTCCTGGAGCAAGCAAACTTTGGGGCTGAGATCTAAAGTATGGGGAGGCATTAACAAGGCAAACTGAGCAGAACAGATTCTTTCAGGTTGAGGGACCAGCAGATGCAAAGGCACTGTGGCGGGAGGGAACATAAGAAGGTAGATAACTGGAGCACCACGAGCGAGGGGGCACAGTCCAAGCTGAGGCAGGAAAGGTAGGCAGGGGCCAGCCTGTGTGGACGTGGCAGGTGAGCATCTGGTCTTTAGCCTGAGGGTGTTGGTCAGCCATAGAGGGTCATGGGATCAGATTTGCACAATGAAAAGATCACTCTGGTTTTGGTAGTTATTTTTAAGATGAAAGTCACTAGAAAGCCTTTGGGTGTGGATGGGATAAATCCAGTCCTGAGAAAGAGTTGAAGATGAGCATGAGACAGAGACACTAATGTTGGAGTAAGGTTCTTGAGAAGGCAGTGGAGAATGTAATTCAGGACATGGACTGAGGCTTGGTCCCATACTGGGCATGGGCTTTGCACCTGCCCTGAGGATAATTATAATAAAGGTGACAAATAGTGAAGGGGTGAAAAAAGATCACTGTTGTTGCCAGATAGAAGGCACATGGAGGGGAGCACCAGAGGGTGTGGGGTGAAGTGTAGGGATCTGGGCAAAAGGTGATGGTGCTTGGATCAGGGCAGGGCAGCAGGTATGGGGAGAGGTGGGAAGATTTAGAGGATGGAAAAGCAGGGCTTGCTGGAATTACGTGACTGTAGTCAGGTGGGAGTTTGCCTGCACCATTCTCGCTTTGATCCCCCAAGGGCATGGACTCTGTCTTGCTCACCACCGTATCCTCAGTGCCCAGCAGGTACCCTAGACAGGTTTGTGGAATGAATAAACCATCTCAGCAGAAAGACCCCTTAGATATTACATGATCCAGGCCCTTTCTGTCTCCAGTCCCACAGGTGGGGAAACTGAGTCTCAGAGAAGACTCACACATTGGGTCACTGGGAGTACTGGGCCTAGGACTTCTGGGCTGGGTTCTGAGAGCCCTACCCCCCAACTCCAGCACTCACTCAGTCTCTCTCTGTAGGGGTCTCGGTCCACGTGTGCAATGAGCACCGTTATGGGTACATGAACGTGCCTGTGAAGTCTCACCAGGGACTGGAGAACGAGAGGGTCAACTTCATCCACCTGATTTTGGAAGCACTGGGTGAGGACTGGAGCCTTTTCTGGCCACCTGCTGCTGTGGCTTTCTGCCTCCCCTTGGTGCCTCTTTTCCTAGGCCCCAGACTTCAGTGAACGTCGGGCTTGGGGTTCTAGCCTTGCTCTTGCCTTGTTCCATGACTCTGAGCAAGTTCCTTTCCCCATTGGGCCTCAGTCTCCCCATCTCTACAATGGGGGCAGGTAGATTCGGTGATCTCAGAAGGCCCTCCCTTCTAGGCAGGAATGAGGCAGAGGGCTAGGACTCCAGGGTCGCTGCTAATAGGAGGCAGTAGGGACTCATGATGAGGGGTATTTCCCTTTGCAGTGGATGGGCCCCCCATGCAGGCCTCAGCTCACGTGTCTCGGCCCCCGAAGAAGCCCAGCAAGATGGGATTTAATGAGGTAAGTCTCCCCAGCCTGCGGGATTGGGGTCAGGAGGTGTATGGGCTCTCCCCACCCACTCCCCCTGCACTCACGCTGCTGCCTCCTCCAGGTCTTTGTTATCAGCCTGGCCCGCAGGCCTGACCGCCGTGAGCGCATGCTCAGCTCGCTCTGGGAGATGGAGATCTCTGGACGTGTGGTGGATGCTGTGGATGGCCGGTGACGCTTCCTGGGGAGGGGTTCCTGGGAATTTGGGGGGCAACGCGGTCCATCTCTGAGCTGCCTGGGAGTGGGAAAAGCAGTTGAATGAGTTTCCTGTCCCAGGAGGTATCCAAATAGGGCCTGAGTCTCAGGGAGTTCCAGGTCAGACAAGCACAGGACAAGACGTCTTCCCTCGCCACCTCATCTGCCAGAGGGAGGAGTGTGCAGCGTTTAAGCTCCAGGGCCTGGGTTCCAGCACTGCCACTAACCAGCTGTGTGACCTCTGGCTAGTTGTCCCTATCTCTCAGCTCTACTGTATAAATGGCAAATAATTGTGCCTTGTTCTTAGGGTTTTGGAAGGGTTCAGTAAAGATTTAGCTAGGGCACAACAGTAAGTATTCCAAAGGATTAGGTATCTTCAGTCTTATTATCCTCCATCCTTAGGTCCCTGATGGGTGGGGGTGGGGCAGGTCAGCCACGTTCCCCAGGGGAGTCCAGAGGCCAGGCTCTTCTGGCCACCAGGGGTCATACAGCCCTATATGCAACTGCTGTTTGCCTCAAGCCCCCAGCTTTTCTGACTGCAGGCTGTCCACCCTTTGCTTGGGCCTCTGCCCAAGAAATATCTACCATGTTCCCCACATTCATGCTAGAGTGCTTCCCGCTCAGGCAGTCCCCACACCCCCCTTCCCCCAAGGGTCACCCCTGTGCTGTCATAACTGGCTTCCTGAGGTGGCTACGGTTCCCCAGGTCCAGTCACTGACAGCTTCAGCCACACAAAAGCATTACAAACCTTCAAACCAGACTCCAGGGTGGCTGTCCTCAACATGCACAAGCCAAGCCCCTCTGGAGGGGATCTCTGGCTGGCACCCCTAACCCCATTTCACCTGTGTCCTTTAGAATGCTCAATAGCAGTGTCATCAGGAGCCTTGGCGTGGACCTGCTCCCTGGCTACCAGGACCCCTACTCGGGCCGCACACTGACCAAGGGCGAGGTGGGCTGCTTCCTCAGCCACTACTCCATCTGGGAGGAGGTGAGGATGTGCGCCCTCTGGGAGAGCAGGAGCTGGTTTGTCTTCTCCACGGCTCTCTGCCCAGCACTGAAGTGAATGAGTAAGTGAGTGAGTGAATGAACATTCACGAAGATCCGGCCAGCAGCTTTGAACCTCCTCTGTGTTCAACACTGTACTGGGCACCACTGAGGGGTACCTTTATCCATTGCACAGCCTCTATTGAACACCTGCTGTGTGCTAGGACATATTCTGCTCTGAGAACACAGAGGGGAACAAGAAAAATGCATGTCTGTTTCCTTCCTGCAATAGGGGGATACTCCTGGGGCTCAGGGACCAGAGGGGGGGGCACAGAAATTAGAAAGAACCAAGTTTACAAGGCTGTTCTGAGAGGGTGGACTGGCCCCACCTCCTGGCCTGGTGCGGGACGTCAGTGTGGGCCTCTCCATTGAGGAGTGGAGAGAAGAGCCTTCTTGGCAGAGGAAGACGGTGGGGCAAAGGCCCTGAGGCAGGAAGGTGTGTTGAGGACCACTGAAAAGGAAGGCCAGGGTTTGCTTAGCACTTGGCCAGGAAGCCTCGGCCCCCAGGGCTGGGGGCATGAGTGCCAGGCAGAGTAGCTGAGAGAGGAAGGGGGCTCTCTGGGGGCACCCCTCCAGGACACTCCTCATTTTTATTTTCTACTGCAGCCAAAATATATGTGCATGTGTGTGTGAACTTGTATTTATATTTGCACTTATTTTTACCATCTCTGAACAAATTGAAGGATGACATAGTTCACCATTTATTGAGCTGATTTCACAGGTTTTGTTTGATTTTTGCAGTTGGCTGGTACAGGGTCGAACCCTGGAACTTGGTGTTATCAGCACCACCCTCTAACCAACTGAGCTACCATGCCAGCCCTTTTTTACATTTCTAAAAGTTGCAAAAAGTATTTTTTCTTTGGGATGTTGGGGGCTGGGGTCTTCCCCTACCCCTACCCAGCCCAGTTTCCTCTAGGAAATCTCAGGAGGCCAAAGTGAGGAACTGGGCCCTGGAGTCCAGCAGATGCAGGTTGCAATCTGGTCCTACCACTTCCTGGCTGTGTGTCCATCTCCTTTCCACAACAGGGGGATCATCATGTCTCCTGTCTCCCTGGGGCCCCTGAGATATAGTAGCACTCAATGAATGTAGCATGGTTCATGACTACCATCATGATTCTATTTGGAGAGCTAGACTGGAGACCTAGGGGGCTTTGAATACCAGAGTGAGGTTGGGATTTTAGTCCCAAGCAGTGGGAGCCCTAGCAGGCTTTGGAGCAGCTGCATGACATGGCCAGGGCTGAGCATTTGGAATATAACTGAGGCCAGGAGGAGTCTTTCTGCTTTAGCCAGGTGGGAAGGGGATAGCTCAAATCTGAAGAGCCACCTCCCACCCCACCGTGTACCACAGGTGGTTACCAGGGGCCTGGCCAAGGTCGTGGTGTTTGAGGACGACGTGCGCTTTGAGAGCAACTTCAGGGGGCGGCTAGAGCAGCTGATGGAGGAGGTGGAGGCAGAGAAACTTCCATGGGACCTGATGTAGGCAGCCTGCATCTCTATGGGCAAGGGAGGGGGCAGGCGGCCTTGGGGTCTGTCTCTTTCTGCTTTGGGTCCTGGCCAGCCCTCCCCACCAGAGCCTGGCCCTGAAGGAGGGGGTTGGAAGAGGGTCCCATGATACTCTAGGACCTACAGTGACTCCTGGAACCCATGGTGTCACCTGCAGCTACCTCGGCCGGAAGCAGGTGAACCCCGAGGAGGAGGTTTCTGTGGAGGGGCTGCCAGGCCTGGTGGTGGCTGGGTACTCCTACTGGACGCTGGCATACACCCTGAGCCAGGCGGGTGCCCGCAAGCTGCTGGCCTCCCAGCCCCTGCACCGCATGCTGCCTGTGGACGAGTTCCTGCCCATCATGTTTGACCGGCACCCCAAGTGAGGCTCAGTCGGGGGCAGGGCAGCAGCGTGGTAGGGCCGGGTCGGTGGGCAGCCGGGGAGGCTGAGTTCCAGGTCACCAAGGAATAGCCCTGCCTAGTGCTGGAGTCAGACCAACCTAGGTGTGAATTCTGGACTGCCAGTATGGTTTTAATCAAATAACTTCCCTGTTCTGAGTCTCCGTTTCCCCCATCTGGAAAATGTGGATAATAGAAATCCTACCTCTCAGGGCTACAGGACTTGTGAAGACTAGATGGGGAGGGCAGGGGGGTGCTTCTGGCAGGTGAGGTGGCCGGCTTGGCCTGGCATGCAGTTTGGGAGGAGGGGCCCACCTCAGCCCCCCTGAGCTGTCCTCCCACCTCACAGTGAGCAGTACAAGGCACACTTCTGGCCACGGGACTTGCGGGCCTTCTCGGCCCGGCCTCTGCTCGCTGCCCCCACCCACTATGCAGGGGATGCTGAATGGCTCAGTGACACGGAGACATCCTCCCCCTGGGACGACGATAGCGGCCGCCTCATCAGCTGGAGTGGCTCTCAAAAGACCCTGCGCGGCCCCCGCGTGGACCTGGCTGGCAGCAGTGGGCACAGCCTCCGCCCTCATCCCCGGGACGAGCTCTAGGTGAGGCCCATGCGCCTGGGCTTTCTCTCCCCTTCTATGGCATGACTGTGTCTGGGTCTCTCTTTTCTCCTTCTCAGCTATCTTGACTCTCCTCTGTCTGTCTTTGGCTATCTCTGCGTCTCTCTCTAGCTGTTTCTCTCTTTGCCTGTCTCTGGTCTGTTTATATCTGTCAGTGTCTGTCTCTCTCTGATTCTCTCTGACTCTAGTTCTTTCTGTTTTTCTCTTCCTCCCCTCTTGTCCCACCAGTTCCAGGTGGTGGCTCTAAAGGGACACCCAGAAACAGGCCACCACTGCCTGGGGAGCAGAGGAGATTGCTGGCCAGAGCCATAGATCCAGTGGAGACCTGGCTACCACCTTAGGCATGGCCGCTGTGTCCTCTGGACCTGTCTTATGTCAGGAGAAACCACTCAGAGATGAGTCTCATTCTTCAAAGGTCACATAACAAAAGGGCAGGACTCACATGCCCCTGCCTGACTCAGGGCCTGGGGTGCAAGGAAGGAGGTGGCTCCCCAGCCTTCAGTTTCAAGCAGCAAACAGACCCAGGGAGCCCTGCCCTCCCTGAGGACTCAGCCGCTTGGGTCCCTCTGCCCCCTTCTACCTCCACCTCAGCCCCCTCCCCAGGTCGATGTTTGTGTCTCGCCAGCACCCTCTTCCCCTGGCCAGTGGGAAGTGCAGGGAACTGGGAGTGGACCCTTGCAGACGTGATGCCCAGCACACAGTAGGCCTTCAATAAAAGCCAGCTGATATTTGCACTTTATACTTTTTAACTCATGGCTGGCCTCTTTGCATCTCAGCTGGCCTGGGAGGGAAGTCTTCCCCGTCTACGGATGAGCAGCTGGAGGGACAGAGGGCAGGGCAGCAGGAGGAGGAGTCAGGCCAACCTGGCATCACCTGTTTTCGGGTGACCTTGGGCGGGTGCCACCCCCTCCCTAGGCCTGGTTACTCCTTGGTGATTGGGGGTGGGTAGGGGGGTATTTCATGGGCTGGGCGTTGTGCTCACTGATGTCACCACTGGTTCACCTTGCTGGTCAGGGTGTGCCCTGGCCAGACCCACGGCTGCTGATGTCCCCCTCCCTTTGGATTTTCACTCGTGCTGCTGGAACTCTGGCATAGGGGAGGAGGCCCAGGAGTGTCCCCTCCCCTGGAAGGGGTTAGGGGAGATCCACGGTTGCCCTCTGGCTCTAACCAGCCTGGCCACCAGAGGGCACCCGGTGGCAGCGCCTGGACCTTGTGGGGCAGGCTCCCCCTGCTGGTTTAGAGCCAACAACCAGGAGCATGGGGCATCTGGAACCTCCCTGCTGTGCAGCTGTGCGACCTGAAGAAGCTCTGTGTTCTTCCACTCTTCTGCTTGAGAACTGTGGGCCCTCCTTCCCTCCCCCACCCCCTGGGGTCAGGCTTTGGGGCCCAGCAGCTTTCTCTGATGCCTGCCCTCAGGCGGTGGAGGGGTGGGAGGGGTGCCTAGGCTGTGGCACCTCCCGACTGCCGCTTTCTGAGGAGCCCCTTCCTCTCCCCTTCCATTGAGGCCCCTTGACTTGATTATATGAGCACCCCAGTCCTGGCAGAGTCTGACGGGCACCCCCTGAGGTTGGACTTTCCCTTAGCCCTGTCCTGGGGGTGAGGTCCAGGACCTGGCATGGCTGTGAGACGGACTTTGGGCAGGAGCTGTGGGCTTGGTGCTTTATTTGTTCTAAGAGTCAAAGCAATTAATTCTGGATGGCTATGATCTTGAGTGAATTCTCTCCAGGCTTCAGGTGCCCCCTTCATCCAGTTAACATTTATTGAGCACCTCTTATGGGCCAGGATTGGGCTCTGGGGATACAGCAGTGAATAAAACTGACAAAAACATCCCTGACCTCATGGAGCTGACATTCTAGTGGGGAAGACAGACAAAAACAAGTAAGGAACTCTTACAGGGTGTTAATGGTGATAACGAAAAAGGTGGAGTGGGGGAGATGTTATGTGAGATCTGAGAAGTTAACATCTGAACAAAGACTTGAAGGAGGTAAGGGGGCAAGCCATGGGAATATCTAAAGGAAGAGCATTCCAGGCCGGGGCGGTAGCATATGCAGAGGTCCTGAGGCAAGTGTGGGACTGGCAGGTTCGAAAGGCAGCAAGGAGGCCAGTGTGGCTGGAGCAGAGTGAACAAGGAGGAGCCATTGTCTGGAGATGATAGAGCCAAAGTCAGGGCCAGAGCAGAGGGCCTTGGAGGCCATTTTGGCCTTAACTCTGAGACAGAGTCACTAGAGAGTTGGGGACAGAGAAGTGGCATGATCTAACTTAGTTTTACATGATCACCTTGGCTACTGTACTGAGAATGAGCTGTAGGTGGGTCCAGGATGGAAACAGAGACCATTTAGGAACCCATTGTAATAATTCAGGCCTCAGACCACGGTAGTAGCAGTGGGGGTGGTGAGAAGGTAGAGCCAAGGGAATTTCAAGAGGAGTGGAATTGATGTTAACGTTTTTGGCTGGAATTACTGGAAGAATGGAACCGTCATTAACTGCGACGGGGAAGAATGTGGGTGGGGTTGGTTTCGGGGGGCAGGTCAAAAGCTCAGGTGCTTATATTTGAGATACAGGTGGTGGATGTCAAATAGTAGTGGCATACACAAGTCTGGAATTCAGGAGACCAGTCTGGGCTGGAGACAGAAGCTTGGAATCCCCTGTCCAGAAGTTTTGGCCCCAGATGGCACCCTTCACCACTGGTTACTGGGGGGAGCCTGTTAAAATGCAGATTCCTGCCCTCTCCCCCTCCAAGGTTCTGATTCAGTATGTCATAGGTGAGGCCTTAGAGAGAGAGAGCAAGACAGACAGACTCTCCTTTTCTTTTAAAGTCCTCAGAACCACGCCCCTGACCACTATTTTATTTATTTATTTTTTTAACTTAAACAATGGTTAATTAATTAATTAATTAATTAATTTTTATGGTTTGATACTCAGCATAGTTTATTAAAAAATGTAAGGCTAAGTGTTTTTTTTTTGTTTTTTGTTTTTTGTTTTTCCCTTTTTGTCTTTTTTTACTGAGTGGCAACGGGATCGCAACCCTCGGTGTTGCGTCCGCACCGCGCTCAGCCAGTGAGCGGGAACCGGTCTCCACATGGGATCCGAACCATCGGCTGGAGTGCCACCGCGCTCCCAAGCGGCGCACTCTCCAGTACGCCACCGGGCCGGCCCTAAGATTTTAAAATACATTTAGAATTACAGCATCAAAAATTTACACAACACAAAAATTAAAAGAAAAAAAATTATGTAATAGTCCATATTCTTATCCTAGAAGCACATTTTGCAAAAATGACTAAATGATATGAATTGCTGCTTACAATCAATAAAAAGAATAATAAATGTACTCATCAAATAGCATTGATTAGGCAACTATAGATACTAACATGACATATGAAACACTTAGAAACAAATTACATTATTTAACAATTTTCAGTGAAAATAATGTTTTTCTGTACACAATGTTATGGGATGCTCACACTTTTTTTTTTTTTTAATTTTTAAAATTTTATTTTGTCAATACACAATGTGGTTGATTATTGTGGCCCATTACCGAAACCTCCCTCCCTCCTCCCTCTCCTCCCTACCA